TTTTGGAAATGATGATGGAAACATATGTACAAATATGTTTGATACGATTGATGTATGGAGTGTTGTAAGAGCTGTAAGAGCCCCTAATAAAATGATTTTTTAAGTGAAATCTTTAGCATTGCTTTACTGATCTGAACTATCTTTTCTTTCCATATAAAATTGGCAGTTAGTTTTACCATCTCTTTATGATGATGTAATTTGAATCATGATTACATTATACCTGTAAATCACTTTGGGTAGTATTGACATTTTCACAATATTAAATCTTCTATCCACAAACATGGTATAATCTTCCACTTGTGTAGATCTCTTTTGGTTTCTTGTAATAGTGTTTTGTAGTTTTTTGGTATAGGTCTTTTGTTTCTCTGCTTATATTAATTCCTAAGTATTTCATCTTTTTGTTGGCCAGATGGTATCATTTTCCTGATTTCCTTGTCAGAGATCTCTTCATTCATGTAAAGCATAGATTCCCAAACTTATTTGGCCTCCCTACCCTTTTTCAGGAAAAAAAGTTACTCTGCACCCCCTGGCAATGAAAAACTTTTGTACTCTAGCCCATAATCCAGGATAAAGTGTAAGTGCTGCTTTCGCAACACACACACACCCACCCCCCGGATCACTCCAGCACCCGGGAAATGGTACCACTCATTTGGGGAAATACTTGTGTAACTGGTATTTAGATGTTGATCTAGTACCCTGCTGCTTTGCCTACTATTTCAATTAATTCCAACAATTTTCTTGATGAATCTTTAGGATTTTCTATGTATAGAATCCTATCTTATGGAAATAAAGAGTTTTACTTCTTCTTTGCTAACTTGGATACATTTAGTTCCTCTTTCTTGCCTAATCACTTTAAGACACCCAGCATAATATTAAATAGGAGAAGTGATAAAGGTAGTCCCAGCTTGAGATTGTTAACGCTTATTGTGCCAATGGCCCATAAACACATGTGGGGTTAATTGAAGAGTGGAGAGATAAATGGCTTGGTGGGCCTCACCTTTCTAGTTCTCAGGTCTCTTGTTTTCTTGGACCAGGGTGCAGCTGCCTCACCCAGTTCCCTGCTTCAGCTGGTAAGGCTCACTTCTTGCAAGACATCCCTGAGGAGAAGCCACATGGACCTAACCCGATGCAGCCCTGGGTGCTGGCGTAGCCGTGCAGAGACCCCTGCCAGCATGAGATGCTTACACATTCACTGATTTGGCTTTCCTTCTGCAGTCGGCATCATTGCATGTGTTTTGTGAGATTTAGGAGGACTTTGTGGATTGGTGCCCGACATATGGGCTAATGTTGGACTTGTGGGCTTGGGTAACACTGGGTTGGGATGTTTTCTTGATGTGCACTTACCCTTTATATAAAACTCTCTCTTATACATATGAGTTTCTGTGGATTTGTTTCTCTAATGTAGCTAGACTATAACACACTGCTCATTCCCATTCAGAATGGGAATGCTTTCAGTCTCTTCCCATGGAGCATACTGTTTACCATTGATTTTGTATATATGCCCTTAGTCTTAGTTATGTTGAAAAATTTTTGTTCTATTTATATTTTATCAAATGGTTTTTAGTCAGGAATGGGAATTGAATTTTATTAAGTTCTTTTTCTGTGACAATTGATATGATTGATATCATTGGGTTCTTCTCATTGCCTTTATTTGTGTGGTGGATTAGATTGATTGTTTTTCCAATATTGAAGCCTCCTTGCATGCCAGGTATGAATCCTACTTGGTCGTGATGTATTGCTATTTTTATATATTTTGGATTTTATTAGCTAGGATATTGTTGAAAGATTTGTTTCTATGATTATGAGGAATACTGGTCTATACTTTTCATTTTAATATTGTCTTTGCTTGGTTTGTAGGAGCCCTGGTGGTGTAGTGGTTATACATTGAGCTGCTAACCACAAGGCTAGCAGTTTAAGGCCATCAGCCTCTCCACAGGAGGAAAGATGAAGCTTTCTAGTCATGTAGAGACTTAGTCTCAGCAACCCATAGAAGCAGTTCTCCCCTGTCCTATGGGGTCATTATGAGCCAGAATCAGCTCAATGGAAGTGTGTTTGGTTTAGTTTGGCTTTTGATTTGCCTGATTTTGGCATTAGGATGATGCTTACTTCATAAAATGAATTTAGGAGTTTTCCACACACCAGCAATGATATCAGAAAGGGAAAGTAGGCAAATACTTAAATTTACAATAGCACCCAAGAGAATGAAATATCTAGGCATAAATTTAATCACAGAAGTGAAGGACTTATACAATGAAAACTATAAAATATTGCTGAAAGAGACCAAAGAAGACTTACATATTAAGGAAACTTAAATAAAATCTTCTTGGATTAGAAAAGTTAATATTGTTAAGAGGTCAATACAGTCCACAGTGATCTATAGAATCCCGATAAAAATTCCAACAGTCTTCTTTATGGAAATGGAAAATCCAATCCTTAACCTTTTGAAATGGCAAGAAGCATCACGTAGCTAAAGTGACATTGAAAGAAGAGAACTAAGTAGGAGAATTCACATTTCCTGATTAAAAACAATACACAGCAACAGGAATCAAAACAGCCTGGTATTGATATAACAAAAGAGTCATAGACTAAAGGAATAGAATTGAGACTCCAAATTAAAATCCATACATTGATGGTTAACTGTTGTGTTTTTTTTACCAGGATGGTAAGTTGACTTGATGAGGGAAAAAACTTCTCTTCAATAGATTGTTTCATTGTTGTTGCTGTTGACCTTGTACCCTGCAACTTTGCTAAATTCCTTTATTAGCTCTAGAACTTCTTGGGGACTCTGGAGATATTCTATATGTAGAAACATGCCATCTGAGATAAGATATAATTTACTTCTTTTTCAATCTGTATACTTTATATTTCCTTTTCTTATCTTATTGGTCTAGCTAGAGCTTTGAATACAATATTGAATAGAAGTGGTGACAGTGTGTACTCTTATCTTTTTCCCAATGTCAAAGGGAAAACTCTCAGTCTTTCCCTACTAATATAAGGATGGCTGCTGGCTTGTCACATATGCCCTGAAACATATTTAAGACTTTTCCTTCTATTTCAATCTTCTTTAAAATTTTCATTTAAAAAAAAGGGTATTGGATTTTATCAAATGTTTTTTTCTGCATCCATAGAAATGATTATGTTATTCTTTTCCTTTTCTTTTTTTTTAAACATTTTATTAGGGGCTCATACAACTGTTATCCCAATCCATACGCACATCAATTGTGTAAAGCGCATTTGTACATCGTTTCTCAAAACATTTTCTCTCCATTTAAACCCCCGACATTAGGTCCTCATTTTTCCCCTTCTTTTCCTTTTCTCTGTTGATGTGGTATATTATTGTGGCTGACTGGTTTTCTAATTTTAACCATCCTGCATTCCTGGAATAAATGCCATTTGGTCATAATCTATGACTCTTTTAATATACTGTTAGATTCTATTCCCTAGTATTAATAGAGGTATTTTGAATCTATATTTATAAGAGATGTTGACCTGTAATTTTCATTTTTGTGTTGTCGTTGTCAGGTTCTGGTGTATCCATCTTTTTTTTAATTGTGATTTCTGTATTTTCTAGTCATAATTATAAAGGCCTTCCCTGCCTCAAGATTATAAAATAACTCTCCCATATTTTTTTACTGAAGCTCTTATGGTTTCATTTATCCACATTTAATTTATCCACTTCCAACAATTTTCTTGATGAATCTTTAGGTTTTCTATGTATAGAATCCTATCTTTTGGAAATAAAGAGTTCCACATTATTATGGTTTAATTTATCCACGTTCTAGTCAACTGAGCCATTTTTTCTTGTTTTCACATGTACAAAGAGATTATTGCCTCTGAGACATTGCGTTGTTTTTATATTTGTCTCTGGCTGAACAGCAGTCCCTGCACACTTGCTGTAGATCCCCGAGAGTCAATGGCTAGATCATTCAGCACTACCTTATCTTGAGCAGGTGGCATTTAAACTTTAAAATTTATCCTGTTGTAAGTTGTGGGTTTTTCCTCATCTTTATGAAGCCCCTTCCATATGTCTTAATCTTTACCCTCTGCCAAGTGCTATGATTTACTAAGCTCTAAGTATACCCCACTGGAGCAAAATATTCTAAATTCACAAACTCATGAAACTGCTGTCCTAGCGGGATAGAGAAGTACAGTCATCAAACTAAAGAAAGGAGTGGGGTGTGAGGTGGGGAACACTGTAAGGAGAAAAGGAAAGCCGGGCAGGGGAGAGTGTTGGGAGTGGAGGTTGCAGTTGCACAGGGTGGTCCGGGTGGACCTTGCAGAAGAGACGGCATTCGACTAGAGACTGGGGGAGGAAAGAAAGTGGGTCATGTTGCTCTTCCAGGGAGAATGCATCAAGCAGAAGGATGAGCAGAAGCAAAGGAGGAGAGCCGTGGGCAAAGGTGAGAACAGCCAGAGGAGAACAAAAGTGTCCTGAAAAGGCACGAGGAGCCCATGAGCATCCTCAGTGGGCATTGTAGGGACTTGGGCTTTTATTATGTAAAAGAGGGAAAACCGTTGGCAGATTCCCAAGAGTGGAGTGACGTGACCTGACTTGGGTTTAAGAGGATTACTCTGTGTTCTGGGTGGAGAGTAGAACTGAGAGGGGCAAAGACATGAGGATGCCTTAGGAGGTAACAGTAGGCATCCAGGTGAGACACCTGGATAGGGGTAGGGGTGGAGGGCAGGAAATGCAGTCAGATCATGGCCCTGCCCGGCAAACAGGCTTAGGTAGAATGTAGGTGCAAGAGAAGGAGAAAGGAAGGATAATGCTGATGCTTCAGCTTAGTAAGTGAATGGATGAATGAGTTGTTCTTTAATGCCACCTTGCATCTGAGGACATTGAGGTCCAGAGCGGTCAGGGCATCCGTACCCAACCTGCTGCACTGCATATTGCTGTGGAGGCCAACCAAGGCCCGACCTGCAGCCAGACCCCTCAGGGGCTTGCCTCTGAGCAGGTCAGGACAGGTCCCCTGAGCACCACCCCTGCACTTCCCTTGCAGGACCAAGACTCGGGAGGTACGCAGCCCCAGTGCCTGGGCAGCCTCGCCCTACGACTGTCCGCTAGTGCTGAGGAAGCTCATCCGCAAGGAAGACATCCGGGTTGGCTGCAAGTGTGTTGTGAAGGCGCCCCTGGTGTCTGACGTGGAGCTAGAGCGCTTTATAGCTGCGCCGCGTGATCCCGGCCAGGTGCTGGTGTTTGGGATTGTCTCGGTGCAGAACCCAACCAAAACCGCCCAGCTCCAGTGGCTGCTTGACAGGCTCTACAGTCACCGTCAGCAGGGCCGCGCCTCACCCTGCATCCAGGTGGGTCCAGGTGCCTGGGCTGGTCCCTGTGGAACTCAGCTTGGAGAAGGGTTCTCGGGAAAATCCCATGAGGCCAGGGGTGGCTTGGCATCTGGAAAGGGGCTACCCCTCCATCTTCTGTCAGCCTTTGCTCCCTCCGAGCACTCCGAAGCCCCTCCTTTCCCTCTGCCTCGCCCTGCATCCCAGGGCGGCTCACACATCAAGGTGGGTGCCTTTTCGGACACCTGAGACACAGTCGGGGCACCATTCTTCATCTTTGGAGCACCGCTTCATGTGACTATTTGGAATAGAGACTCCAAATATTGCCTCACCTGGCCTTCAAAGTGCAGTCTGTGTTTACAGAGACTGCGAGCTGGATTCCACAGGCTGCAGGGGTCCAGAGGGGTCGCCAGCTTTGGGTAGTGACAGGAGGACTCCCTCCCTCATCCTGTGGGAAGGAGATGTTTAAGCCCGAAAAGGGGTACACCGGAAGCATGGCTTCCATCTTCAGCTCTCCCAAGGGCTCAGCCCATGGCAGAAGACAGTCGGGTACTGGGTAACCTCAAAAATGGTGGTGGGGGTGGGGGTGTTTGTCGTGGACCCACTTCCTCTGGGACCGTGAAGTCATCCAGAAGGAGTGCACGTGGCCACAACCGGCGGCAGGAAGAGGCTGGAGCCCAGGGCAATGGGCTGGCCAAGAGTCTCAGGATCCAAGTAACACAGGAACCCACTGGACAGCAGCAAAGAGCCGAATCAGCAACTGCTTGGCATGGGCTAAGACGTCCTGACATTTCTGTCTTGGCAGTGCCAGCGTGACCCTTACCGCCTGTTGCGATATGACCTGGATAGCCCTCTCCAGAAGGACCCGCCCCTGCTGGTGAAGAAGTTCGCAGTTGTGCAAGGCATGATCCTGGTGAGCTGGGGCCTGTCCGCGTCCGCGGCACCAGAGGAATAAGGATGGGAGAGAAGAGGGAGGTGGGCTTCCCCATCTGCTCCCGCTGGAGGGAGTCGCCCAGCCTTCCCTCCCCATTCCTCAGCCCTACCCAACGTGTTCCCCAGCTCGGAGACTGAAGGAGCAGGAGGTGCCTAACCCAGAGAATGATTTTATTTTCATCCTGTGCGTTTAAATAAGCTGTGTACTAAAAGTCGAATACCTGGGTAGCACACACAGTTAAGCTCTGACTACCAACTGGAAGTTGGCCGCTTGAATCTCCCCAGAGGTGCCTCGAAAGAGAGGTCTGGCGATCTGCTTCTGGAAGGTCAGGGCCTTAACAAGCCCATGGAGCTATTCTACTTTGCGCACACCGGGCCCCGTGGGTCAGAATCAATCAGCAACTGGTCTGGTGTTTTGTTATGTTTTTATTAAAAAACAACAACAACACATCAGTGTGTTCTTTTTTAAAATGGTGTGTTAACTAGAGAAAACATGGAAAATACAACTTAGAAAGTCATCACCGTTACAGCACAGCGAGGTCAAGCTTGGCGCCAGCTCACATTTTGATGTCTGGTCTTACAATTGCTCTCTTTCACATAGAGTTTGGGGTCCTGCTTTAGTAACTAAAATTATTCATGAACATATCCCCATATCTTTACATACTTTGCAACATCTGATTTTCTTTTTCTTTTTTTTTTAAAGATCATTTTATGGGGGGGGTGTCTCATACCTCTTATAACAACCCATACATCAATTATATCAGGTATAGTTGTACATATGTTGCCATCATCATTTTTTAAACATTTACATTCTACATGAGCCCTCGATATCAGCTCCTCTTTTTACCCTCCCTCCCCCATCCCACCCTCGTGACCCCTTGATAAATTGTCAATTATTATTATTTTCATATCTTACACTAACTGCTGTCTTCCTTCCCCTGTGGTTAACATTTGATTTTTAATTCATAATTCTTTCTCTGTCTATGGACAGACACATATAGAACATATAGGTTATTTCCATTTATCTTTTTTCCTTGCCATAACAAATAGCACCACGATGAACATCCTTACACATAACTCTAACTGCTGGAGACTGACATGTGTAGGATGGGGGTACAGAAGACCCACACAAACTGCCTGCCCTCTTCCAGGCATGGACATCCCAGAGTCATTTGGGAGTTATGGGCAGCCGCTTGGGGCCTCTGAGCTGGGAGGCACCCTTTTGGCTGGAGGGCTATGGATAAAGTGCTCATCAAGGAGTTACAGGTGGGAGGGTGAAGCTGGTCTCTGACTTAAGGGCCTGGCCAGGCGCCAGGTGCAGCCACAGCTCACTGGGCAACTTAAGTCGGAAATTCACCATCCCAGGCCGCCAGACACCTAATATCTGGCCCAAGTTCTCCAAGACTTGTGGCCCTATCCTCTGAGCTTCAGAATCCACATGCCTTATTAGTGCATGCTGATGTGCTGAGGGAACTTCATCTCACTCTCTGTCCAATCAACAGATGTTCGCTGGAGGGAAGCTCCTTTTTGGAGGCTGTGTCCTGAATGGCTATGGCGTCAGCAAGCAGAACTTGCTGAAGCAGATCTTCCAGGCTCAACATGATTGCAAGATGGGCTACTTCCTGCCAGACGACTACAAATTTAGGTAAAAGGGGAAGACATGGGGATGAGGGGCGAGTGCAAGGAAGGACAGGGGGAGGACCCAGCCTGCAGGAGGCATGGGAGAGGAGGTCGTGCAGGCCGGAACAAGAGCAGACATCCAATGGGTACACAGCTATGCTGTTGGTTTTTCTGGGACACAAGCCTGGGAAAAGAGGACATGGGACTGTTTGCACAATACTGGTTTCTTTTGGTGAATGAATACACATAGGGTTTGGGCAAGGACCCTTCTTACCCCTTCTAACCCGATCCACCTGTCCCTGGGCAGTGTGCAATTCCAGTTCTGCTTCCATCTTGCATACCAGAGGACCACATAGATTATGCTAGTGATTGTAACCCCGGTACAAGGAGGTGGTACATTTATATTGCTGGCTGCAATCTGCTTCTAAGTCTCTGAGCCCTGGTTTTCAAACAGGTGCTACCAATGTATTGAGTACCTCCTGGTCCTGCTTAGCTGAAACATCACAGATCTCTTGGCTCAGGAAGCAAGCAGCCTTGTCCAGGGAAGGAACATTTATGAAGTTACTGAGAGTTCTACCAGGAGCTTATTACTAGATCTAGATCTAATTACTAGATCTAGATCTAGTAAGATGTAGTAATAAGATCTGGATCTAGTAGGATCTAGTAATATCTAGATCAGTGTGGTGCCCTGATAGATAGCTGGCTGGTTCTAGTAAGAGAGTGTGACATTCAAATGTGAGGTATATAAGAGGCAAGGGTCTATTAATATGCTTAAAAGCATATGACTAAGGTGATTTATGGCCATTGATCAAGGACATTGGTGCTAATAAGACATAATTAGACTATGAAATAAGCATACCTAATATAGCTTAATGGCCACACTTAAGATGATCTGCTAAGGTTTTTGCAATTAACTGTTTTGCCATCCATCAAGAGTGGTGCTATCAAGTTCACTTTGTTCCCTCCTCCAATTAAAAGCCAACTGTGGAAGATGACTGTGATAATGATGGCAGTATACAGAGTGAATCCAGCTTCCTAGCAATGCCATTTATGCCAAATGCAGGCGTCCCTTTGTTTACATTTACAATTGATAAAAAATGCCTTATGAGCAGGCTTCAGTAGCTTAAGTTTTCAATTGCTGACTCAAAAGTGATGGGGACATAATAATCAATTTAAATAAATAGAAACCAGCACACAGTTCCCATTGCTTATTTTCTAATCACTGGGATATTATAATACTTGATCCATGACCTCTTCACCATGGCCTATGCCTTTATAATACAAATACTATCTAAAGTAGCATCTTTGTATTATTAAAGGAGGGGGACTGAGGTTGAAATTCTCTTTGGGAAATGTCTGGAAACATGAGTGGTGTGCGCATGAGTATATTCTAAACATTTCGTTAGTTCCACATAATGTGTGTGTGTGTGTGTGTGTGTGTGTGTATTATTTACACGGGCAGGCTTCTTGTGAAAAAGTACCATCAACCTAGACTCTGGAAGAGGGTGCATGCTCTGTGTGCCTGCAAGCCAAGGAATGACAGAGATGGCACTTGGCCTCAGTCCTTCCCCCTTCCACAAAACTTTCTTCCCTACCTTCCTGTCCATGCCACGCCTACTCCCACACGCAGCCCCATCCCCTCACCCTCCAACACTCCCTGCCTCCCGCCTTGTTAGGTCTCAAAAAGGCTTCGATTCCGTTTCAGGGTTTCATGACATGATGAGCCTTGTTTCTGCCCTGTTCTAGATCAAACCCTCTATCAGGGGAGCCACAGACAAGCCAGGCTCAGTTGCTAAGATGCGGCTTCTGTCTCAGAGAGAAGCAACAGAATGAAGCAATGCCAGACTCCCTGTGTATTAAGGGGTCACAGTGGACCAGTTAATGAGAAATCTAGGGGCCCCTGTTGAAGGATAAGCAAGCATTGGATAGGCAGGGAAAGGTCTGTCAAAGAGGGCATTTGTAACTTGATTTTACAGGCATTGGGGGGCCATTCAACAGTCTTCAACTGGGGAGAGGCTTAATTAGAATTTGGCTTTAGATTCATGAGCCAATTCAGGGACTGGATTGGGGCTAATCGAGTGTTTTATGAGCTTATCACAGGAGTAGATAATTCATTTGGATGAAGATAGCTTCAAAAGCTAATTCTCTCTCGACTGAGAACTTGAGAGGGAGAGAGAAAGAGGTTACCTTGCTGAAGTGGACCAGAACTCAGGAATATGGGGTCCAGTCAGGGTAACACGCCCCTGACAAATATCATGGGTAGGTACAACTTTACAACAATAATACATAAAGTGTATAGTAAAGTCATAGAGAATAAGAGAAATAGAAAAAGTAAAATAAAGGCGTCAGACATTTTATGGTAGCATGCTCACCTCCTGGATAGCCAGGATCTCAGCAGCCAGGTCCGCACAGAGCGCGGGAGAAGGAGGAGGAAGGGGGAGGAAAGAGATAGATTTATTTCTAACTAAGGCTTACATATACTTAGGGGCATGCAAGCCCCCTGATTACAGGTAACCACATACGTCACAGAAAGGGGTAGTACCATAGGCAACATAGCAATGGGAGGGGAGACGATCTAAGGGTGTACACGCAATAGAAAGAGGAGGGATTAGGGGTACATATATGACAAGATGGGTGGCTCCTAGTTTCAGGATGGCAGCCTAATCCTGTATGTCACTGACCTTGTATTTTTGACCTGTTCTGAGCTCTCCGGGGAAACCATCACTATCTCTATCAGCAGGGTGTGAGCCCCACCTACAGTGGACCAAACAGTAGTCTGATTGCTTTGGATGGCTGATGCCTTTAGGGAGAATATCTCCAAACATCTGACTTCCCACCATGTGCTGGCAAGCAGCCTCTTAGGTTTGGCATATATTTGGTGGAGACAAGCTGGGGAAAAAGCTTTCTTATATCCCTCCGGGTTGTACTCAATGTTATGGGAAAGTAAGTGCCATTCACCAAGTAAAAAAGGTTTTTGAAATTTCTGGAAGGACTAGCCTGTTACAAATTCCCAGATGGCCTTTTCTACTTATCATTTGAGCAAAGGTGGTCTTCGCTGGAATCTCCAGATGGAATGGAAGCTGTGCCCCAGATGTATGGCAGTGTAATCCCACTGATCTCAAATGTTATCATTTTGGGGTTCTACTACTATTCAAAGGCTCACTCTGAGACTCCAACTATTTATCTGTTTCTTCTACTGAGAGTCATGCACAAGAGATATTAAGTTGCTACAATCAGTCTTTACCTAAGGTTTTTGGAGGTACAGATTCACAAAGAACTCTGGACTGTGTGAGGTGGATATGCAAGTTCAGCGATAATGGAAGAAACTCTTCCGGAGTTCAGGCAAGGCTTCACAGAGGTGATGGTGTGGTAGCCTGGCCTTGGAGGATGACTGAAAGAGGGGAGGGAAAAGGCATCCCAAGAAGAGGAATAGGATGGGAACAATCAAGAGATGCTGTGGGGAGTTCTGAGCACAGTAACTGTGAACCGACCTAGTGCTGGTGTCGCCAAAGTCAGAGACCATGTGGATTCGAGAAACCCTCATTTTACTCTGGAAGCTAGTATCAGACCGAAACAGCGGGCTGCAGCCTCCAAACTGCTTCAGAAATCCGGTGAAATTCAAGCAAGTTATATGCCCCAAACAATATGACAAAAAGCACATTTTGCAACGATCATAGGAAACAGCTATCCATACAGACATTTCCCTAGGGGTTGCCAGCCCACCTTCCCCCAAAGCACCATACTTTATTGTTTATCTAAATGAGGGGTTCTTTCCTGGATACCTATGTTAATGGCCTTGCTTACTGCCTTCCTGAGTTAGAAGACCAACCCTTACTGATTAAGCTCAAAAGGAATTTCTTACTGCAAGGGAAGGGGCTGTTATGTTTTGGACTTTCAACAAACTAAATCTGACATCCCACCTCTTGTCTGTCAATGTTTTGTAATGTGGTGGCTGCTGGAAGCTATGTCAAATCCCAGCAAGGTCACCCAAAATGAACAAGTTTCAGCAGAGCTCCCAGACTATGAATAGACTATAAATAAGGAATCGGCCGTCTACTTCAGAGACATTGGCCACTGAAAACCTGATGGACGGCAGCAAGACATTGTCAGAGATCATGCCGTAAGATGAGCCCCTCTGCTGGGAAAGCACTCAAAATAGGACCGAAGAAGAGCAGCCTTCTCAACAGAGTCGACCACAATGACCCGAATGGAGTAAAGCCTGTGGGAGTAAAGAATTCAGGACCTTCAGTTGCTGATGCAGCATAATTCAAAATGAGAAGAAACCGCTGCAAACATCTAGTAATAATTGGAATTTTGAGGATATGAAATATAAATCTAGGAAAATTGGAAGTCATCAAAATCAAAATGTATAAAGATTGATATTCTAGGTGTTAGGGAGCTGAAATAGACTGGTATTGGCAATTTTGAATCAGAAAATCATATGGTTTACTATGCTAGGAATGCCAAACTCAGGAGGAATGGCATCACAATCATCTTCAAAGAAGGACATTTCCAAATTGATCTTGGAGTACAATGCTGTCTATGATAGGCTAGCTATCTGCATGCAAGGAAATCTAGTCAATACTACTATTACTCAAATTTAGGCACCAACCACTAAAGCTAGTGATGCAGAAATTACAGAATTCTACTTATATCTTCGGTATGAAATTGAGCAAACATGTCAAGGTGCATTGATCATTATTGTTGATTGAATGCAACAATTGGAAACAAAGAGGAAGGAATAACCGTTGGAAAATATGGTCTTGGTGATAGAAGCAAAGATGGAGCTTACATGATAGAATTTTGCAAGAGTAACTACTTCATTGAAAATAACTTGTTTCAACAATGCAAAAGACAACTATACACAATGACTTGTTCAGATGGAATACACAGAAATCAGATTGACTCCGTCTATGGGACGAGATGATGGAAAAGCTCGATATCAGCTGTTAAAATGAGGCCAGGGGTCAACTGTGGCATAAAACATCAGTTGCTCATATGTGAGTTCAAATTAAAACTGATGAGAATATGACCTGGAATCTATCCCATCTGAATTTTGAGAACATCTCAAAAACAAATTTGACACAGTGAACACTCATGACAGAGGGCCTGATGAACTGTGGTCTGACATTAAGAATATCATACATGTCATTCGGACTTTGTGTATTCGTTGGTGAAGCGTTCCACATGTTGACTGTTAAATTGTTTTTAACTTTCCAATGTATTTCTACAGCTAAATTAACCGAAAATTTGGGTGATTTATTCCCATGTCTTAAAAGAGGTCAAATGTGCATGAAAAACCCTAAAACAGACTTTTGTGTAGGCTGTTTCATCAAAGTGTCTCTTTGATCTCAGTTACTGTTGTCTGGGACAGCCCTGTGGCTCCACTACAAGGTGGCCTGTCACAGTGCCCATGTGGGACCTTGAGCAGAGTAGTGAAGTGAAAGATGCAGTCTCAAGGTCAGCACTTGGAGGTTATAACATGGACTCTCTTCTACTGACTGTACCATCTCCTGCTCATTTTCACCTTTGAGGATAATTCTGCCAAGTCTGAGTATATCAAAAGTAATCATTGGAAAGATGGCATCAAACTTATTTTATTCTTTGTTATCCATTTATTCATTCTTTGCAGTGACTGATTTAGTCGACATTTTTTAGCTTTATTCTAAATGGTTTTTAATTCACTGTCTCCCACAGCTTAAAAACCTGTACCTCTAGAGATTTTTGTCTTAGGAAAAATACCATATTTATTGTATTATAATGTGAATATTATGTTTCACAAGGCAGCTTATACTTGTATTTTAACTGTTCCCTTTATGTGGATTTCATTAAAATGTAACCAAGTCCTCCTTCATTTATCAAAACAGATAATGCACTGGGATTGAAATTGACTACATGTGATGTCACAAAATTTATATTTTGCTATCAACTCTTCCATGTCATAACTCACAAGTGAATGTCATGAAGCTAATCATGTATTGCCTTTCTTTGTAAGCTAAGGACTATTAAAAGATTTTTGTGACTATAAACACCAAAAAAAAAAAAAGAATATCATACATGAACAAAGCAAATCGTCGTTAAAAATCCAGGAAAGAAAGAAAAGATCAAAATGGGTGTCAGAAGAGAGTCGGAAACTTAATTATAGAGTAGCTACAACAAATGGAAGGCATGACGTCAACGAGCTGAACAGAACATTTCAATGGGCAGCTCAAGAAGACAAAGTAAAATCTTATAATGAAATGTGCAAAGATTTAGAGCTAGGAAATGAAAAAGGAAGGACACATTCAGTATATCTTTTTTTAATCATTTTATTGGTGGCTCATACAACTCTTATCACAATCCATACATAACATCCATTGTGTCAAGCATACCTGCACATTCGTTACCCTCATCATTCTCAAAACATTTGTTCTCCACATAAACCCCTGGCATCAGCTCATCATTTTCCCCCTCCTTCCCTGCTCCCCCCTCCCTCATGAAC